GTCTAGAACCGCCACTGATTGATATCCCCTGTCCGATTTATTTGATTTTTTTCCCGTTCTGCTGTCTTTTATTTTGAAAGGGTCAACCGGAAGCTGTGGCGATCCTCGAACGTGTCTTGACAGAGCTTGTCTCATATACCCCGTGATCTCCAAAACAACATAACAAAAGTGGAGGAAAACATGGCGAGCGGAGAGGAGGCTACAAAACGTCCCTTGCTCACCTCCTCTTCGGTCGGCCTGGAGGACCTCTTCTCTTCCGGGACTTCGGAGCAGGCGGCCGGGGAGGGGAACCCGGAGCTCGAGCGCCTGCGGGAGCGTCTCCAAGCTTGGCTATCGCAGTACGAGCCCCTGCTGCTGTGGGTGCAGAGGCTGCTGGTCTGGGAGAGGCCGCTCTATAGCATCTCAGCCGCCCTCACACTCAACACCCTATTCTGGTATCCGACCAGCTTTCTTTATTATCACGTTTTTTGGCATCAAAGCGGCTTATAAATGCGTTTAAATCTGATGTCAACGAAGGTAGCGCGAATAAATGTCAAGTGAAGTTAGCTAATCCCACGTCTTTAGCCTAATGCTAACTTAGCTTGTAATTTAAATACAGTTAGCTTTAGCCATGCTTAGTGGAGGTGGTTTCATTGTTGAGTAAATAAACAGGCAGTTATTTTCAGCTCAGATAGACATTAATAAGCTGTCAGTGTGTGAATCGTTGACTGCAGTGAGCCAGAGATGCATGTTATAATGTGACGGATCTCCTTTTTTGGCCCTCACAGGCTTCTGTCGTCCACCTCCCTGCGGCCCCTGTTCCTACTGAGTGTCTCCCTGCTGGGCCTGATGCTGCTGGAGAGATGGAAGCCCAAGTTGCCCATCATTACAGGTGAGCAGCTGGGTTTACTGGCAGCCTTTCAGGGCAGGTTTTAATTAGAACTGCACATATGCAAATATTTATTTGCAAAGGATGGCTTAGATGCAGCTTTTAGGAGACTAAAATACCTAGATTTTTCTGCAGGCATATATAATAGAGATTAATGTATGAGGGAAAATAATTTGGCCCTAAAGTTTACATTTTTTTACTGCTCCCCAAGGGGATGGGTCAATGCAGAGGTACATTTCTCCAATGTGAAATCAATAAAAATCAATTATTATTATTAAAATCATTACCTTTTCAATATACATGCTCTACAGCTCACTATAGTTAAATAATTTCCAAATCCAAAGTGGAATTTTTTTTAATAAAAGCACAAAATGGGGGAAAAAGTTATCAGAAAGTAGCTGATAAAGATAGAGCGTTTAAGGATTTGTTAACATGCATTAAAAAAAGTTGTGTTAATGAAGTATAATAGGTTGAATTTAAGTTATTAAATCAAATTACATTGTGTTGAACTGATAATGTGGAGGGAGAATGCTAGAAAAGCATAGAGACTTATCATACCAGCACCCAGTAAATGGAATAAAAAGCTCTAAAATGGAGTCCGCTCTTCTTGTAAATTCTCTAGTGTGTTGAATCAACAGTTTTAACAAAAAATCCCATTAAAAATGTGTAGCAATTACTGCTTCCTATTAACAGTCTACAGTTTTTCTTTGCTGCTTTAAGCATATATATATAAGCAATGTAGCTTTTTTATGTAGGGTTTTAAACCTCACTTGTAGTCCTCATTTTTTTAAAAAGAAGATAGATATTCAGCTAGAAATGATCTTCAGCTTAATATTGAATTAAACTCCAGGCAGGGTTCCTGATTTAAGGCAAGTTTTAAAAAAAACTTTCATTTTTCATTTTAATACACTGCATTGATATTGTGGGTTGCCTTTTTTTGTCATTGTTTTTTAATTTATTGTTGCTTAGTATTTAAACTTCTTTCTATTTTTTTAATAATTGCATTTTCTTTTTAAGGCTTAGATTTTTTTTTTGTTTTGAAACACTGCTTTGCCATCTTTCCAGAATTTTAATTGCCTTTAATATTACATATGTTTATAGGTTTTAATTAATCATTTAAACAGGGCGTCGTATCAACTGATCATAACAGATTTCTTAATAGGATTCTTAGCTTATGTTAAAAACATGTTTTGTCCCAAAATATGCAAAAATCTGTGTGTGTGTTTTTTTGTTTTTAGTTAAAAACATGATTTCTATTCAAAAGAAAGAGGGGAAAAAATGTGCTGCAGTTTTAGATCTAACAGAAAACGTATGAATGATTCTGTCTCTAGTCTGTTTGAAGTTTTGTTTTACTCAAAAAAAGTGCCACGAAATTATTTTTGGTGCAGGAATTCTTTCACGCCTTTATCGTATGCATTTAATTTATGATATGGTTAATAATTTCTGACATATTTTGAACTTGAATTTATAAAGATCATGGAATAAAATCAAACAGAGCAGATTAACTTGATTCTTATATATATATATATATATATATATATATGAGAAAGAGATATAGATCATTTTTAAGCAAACAACAGAAGTTGTCTGAATTAACTTTAAGTACTGTTAATCTTCATATTGCTAATGTTTTGTATGATCCTTCTTTTCTCCGACAGTCCAACATGCTGAGGCCGAACCTTCACAAAGGTCTGCTTAAAATAAAGCTCTTCTCCTAAAACAATAAAATCAGCATAGTTCTGTGTGCATCTAACAATTGTCCACTTTGTCTAATTTCCTTGTTTAAAAATAGTGTCTTTTCAGGTGTTATCCATCTATATGCTCTCATTTCATAAATATTGCATGTTAGGGCAAACCTATTTGCTTTAAGTATTAATTTTCTCTTTCTGCTCAATTAAATTCAAAGTTTGAGTACAGAGCACCATCTGCTCAGCGTTCCTGAGCTCAGCCACCACCTCGCTGAAAGCTACCTGACATGCTGCCTCTACCTTCAGGAGATGCTGCAGTACAAACGCAGAAACCATGGAAAGGTAAGAATCCCAAGCAGCTAGAACTGCTAATGCTAACGACCTGCCGGCTGTAACCCGTGTTTTCTGGTTCCCAGTTCTGCGTGATGATGTGCTGTGGCTGTTTTGTGCTCGCTTTGGTTGGACATTATGTGCCGGGAATCATGATTTCATACATCATAGGTGAGTCATTTTTTTTGTATCTAATTGGAATGCAGAAACGCAGCTGCGCCTTGTGGTTGTCGTGACAAACACTGTGGGGGATAATGAGTGAAACCATCCCATTGATTTAGAGTTATCATGTAGAAGGTCCTTGCAGATCTTTAATAATACATTTCTGTCAATATTTATTCTCATCCTTGGTGGTAAACTAAATAAAACATTTTTGTTTTCTTTTAATTTCTTTCTACTCTGTGACTTCCTGTTTCCTTTTTGTATAAATATGTGACACATATGCCCTGTTCTATTAACTTCTCCTCAAAGTATGAAAAACAAGAGAACATTCCTTCAGATTAGGGCTGCAACTAACGATTATATTGCAAATCCGTCTATTCTTTTTTCAATAAAAAATCCGACATCAAATGGTTCCTTAAAGAAGATTTTTTGCGATATTAAACCAGGTAAAACTAAAACTTTTCCACTTGAGGATAGATGAAAAAGATTTTTTTTATCTTAAATGCAAAATGGTTACATCTTTTATTTACAATTGTGGTATAATTGCTGCTCCAAGTGGGTTGTTCTCTCAGCTAAAGGCATGTTTTAGTCTTTATACTCCGGTTAATGATTAATCAAATACTAAATTAGTTGAGGATTACTTCAATAATTGATTAATCCGATGAATTGCTTCAGCCTTACTTTAGATAATGAAAATAAGGGCCTGTGTGTTTCAATTTTCATACATTCTGAGAATACAGCCACTTGCCTTCCCTTGCCTTTATCTCCAGTCGGGAAACTGAATGATTGATCGACTTTATTGATCTCACAGTGGAGAAATTTACTCGTTACATCAAGAAGAAGAATGTGCCAAAGGAAGAAAAAGGTGCATGGGTTAAATGCTGTATACAGTGCGTCCACATATGACAGCTTTCTTTTTATTTATAGTAGGAATGAATTAAGTTTCTTAGATCCTTTAAGAAGTCTGAAAGACGAGCTTAGTAGAACAAAGGAAAACTTATTTTATTTTATGTTTCTTTGTTATAAAATACTAAAACTCAATAATTATTTGAATAAAAAGAAAAAAGAGAGAAGAAGGAGTTGAGCTTGAGTCTTTAAGGATGTTTACTTGGCTTCACCAGGGGTGACGATAAACTCAGCAACGTCTTGCTTTAATAAAAATGAACAGAGCCATTTAATGAAGCCTCCTCCCTCCATCATGTCTTTTTTATTTTCAGCCCTCAGCGTGCTTCTGTGGCCCCTGGTAGTGTATCATGAGCTGATTCAGAGGATGTACACCGGCTTGGAGCCAATCCTGATGAAACTGGACTACACCATGAAGGGCGAGACCGAGCATCGCAAGCACGATAAGAGGAGTGAGTGTTACAGATGCAAAACAGGATACATTTACCCTCGTTTTGTTTCCCCGTTAAAATTCTCTCACTTTTTTAAATGTATTTTTATGAATACTCTTCACAGAGGTAAAAAAAGAGGTGGAGGAAGGGGACGAGCCCAGAGCTGAAACAGAAAGTGAGAGCGAGGAAGAGGAGGAGGAGTTGTCCTGTTTTGCTACAACGGTATGGATATTTACGAACACAACACAGAGGGGATAGATTTGTCTGCATCTGCTACCGGATGCAGAAAAGAGGAGCTTGGATATATTATATGCTGAGATCAGCACTCGGGTCGGTGGATGCGTTGTGTTAATGGAGTGAAACTGGGCTGGTGCATGTCTGCATGTCTTCCAGGCTTATATTTCAAGTGCTACCACATTCCTGCAGCTTCTGGAAGACCGGGAAAAACATGTCTGGTATTTAGTCATTTATTTCGACATCTGGCTGTAAGAAAAAGTGGTGGGAAAACGTTTTTCTTTTCTCCTCCTTCAAGGGACTTTGCTGTAAAATGTGTTTTTTTTTTTTTTGTTTTTTTTTCATTGAAATTGGCGGAAAGGGAACATGCTCTGATGAAAGACTTAATTCCCAGTCTGGAGATTCTGGAGCGACATTGTCATAATTCTGATCATTAACAGCTATACCAAGTATGTCCCTCTTTTTTTGGTCCCTGATAGAATCAGCATTCAAGAATGTATGTTTCCAAATCTTACTCATTCAAATCGGTGCACAGAATATGCTTTAAAACTCTAAATTCAGATTATCAGTTGCTTTAAAATGCAGTTTCACACATATATGTTTTTTATCAATAGAGGAGTTTTACTACTACAGCCTTTTTTCTATAGATACATTTAACTCAACACAGCAGCATTCAGTGTAAAAACACTTTTCCAGATACTAGCATAAAACTCCAGTATTTTTATGACTAATAATAGAGCTAATTGTAGATCTTAGTGTCTTCCAAGTTAATCTTTTATAGGCAGAAATGTTTTCCTGCTTAAACCTGCAACTTTGCACGGTTTAAAGTTGAAAGAGTGGCATTTCATCTGCTCGTTATGCAGATTTTCCCAACACACACAGCTTTATTGTTCAGAAGTATGGGGAAATACAAGTTTATTGATAGGTTAGTTAAGTTGCAAAAAAAAGCTCTTATTAATAAGGTGGGATGCCGTAAAATCAACTGATAAACTCTTCATCCAAAGTATGTATAAAGCAGTGAACAAAAGTCTTCCTTCTGGTATTCAGAAATTATTTAAATTAAGAGAAATAAACACAATTTGCAAGGTTTGTTTATATTTGAATGTATTTGAAAGACAAGAGACGGATAAAGTCTAGATGTGTTTCAGTTATTGGTGTGAAACCGTGGAATGATGATTTTAAAGTCGTAGGGAAGCGGATTTTCCAACCGTTCCATTTCGGAATTCTCCCGAGTGGTGCTCGACTTTACACGAGTGAATAAAGTGAATGTGATTGGTCGATTATTAAGGGGACAGAATTGTTGTGGCGGAAGGTTCACAAGCAAGTTCGGTTGTGGCTGGTTTCTCGGAAGCATCTTGCTAACCAGTTAGCAACTTAGTGCTACTAGGTTCCCAATTGGAAATTACATTGCCTGCATAAAATAACCAGAAAAAAGACACAGATTTTAAGACAGGATTTTCTTTAAATTATAAATTTTCTAACTTTTGGAACAATATCATCTGATAAAGAGTACATTTATATACATGTTTAAGCCAGAATGATTTGAAATTTGAATATGACTTCCCTACGCCTTTAAGTTATGTCCTTTCTTGGTGAATTTTAAAAGAGCTTTAAAATGTAAAGTGATAAAATCCAATGTTGTGATGTAGATTTGAATATTTATATACGTACTGTGTAGAACCTGGTAGGTTGTAGGTAAAGTGAAGTGAAGTCTTGAGTGGGTTTCACACTGCAGATGGCAAATGGATCCCTGCAGACTTTGACAGATTTTTGGAAAGGAGTAATCAGAGGAGGCCGATGAATTAATCAGACAGACTTGGAGTAAAGTAAGAGGTAATGATGTTAGATAGCCACCAAAAACCTGACATAGTTTGTTTTTATAATTTATATTAATTATGTCCCTTTAAACAAATGTTCTTTATTCCTAAAATGACCCATCCAATCAACAATCATTACTCCAGAGCAGTGGTTCTCAACCTTTTTTGGGTCACGACCCCCCACATAACATCCACTGCTGTCCAGATCAGACAGATGATGGTCAATACATCCCATCATTTTGCTGTTAATATATAAACAAATAATGCAAACTTTCTTTTTTTTATGAAATAAAACACTAACCTTTAGCAAAACACACTAGAAAAAAACCCATGTTCGTTTGAACTTCCTGAGATCTTTTTGTGCAACTATTTATTGTGATGTTCAGCCTGCTTGTTTGAACAGAGCAGCTGCATTCTTGGCTTTATGTTAGAAACGGCCACACGGAGCTCACTCAACAGGGAGGAGTCCTGATCTGTGTTTGTTTTTTCATGCATGTCAGTGCAGAAAAGGTCTTTTCAGACAGATATGTGGACGCAAATGAAAAAGATGAAATAGGTGAAGCTTTTGACGGTGCTGCGTAGAGAAAACAGCCTAATGTGGGATCGGAAGAGAGATGGAGCAGGGCGTCCTGAAGCTCTGAGGACAGATGATGCATGGTGAAGGTGAAAGGCTGCCGTATCCAGTCGTGTTTTTCTACCGTGCAATAATTCGGGAAGTACTTATTGAAACTTTCAAGCTAGTTTCCGAAGTGAGAGGAAGAAGTTGGAATGGTTATGACATCACTCTCCATAAAGACCTGAAACTTTGGGAACATTTCAACACTTCCGCCATCCACTCGCACAGCCCAGTGATCCAGCTTTATCTGAAATGCTGTGACCTTAGTGGACAGATTCATTGTTGTTGTCTTGGTGAAGCCTGGTTTTGATTCATAAAATGCCTGTTTGAGACCAACAGCTTGCCATCCTTCTAAAAAAAACAGCTATATATATATTCATTCTTCTGGGATGAATCGAATCCATCTTTGTTCTCAGGTGGATATGAAGACTACAGCTCTGGCGATGGCCATCACAGACTCTGAACTGTCTGATGAAGAGGCATCCATACTGGAGAGTGGAGGGTTCCCAGTCTCTAGAGCCACCACACCTCAACTAGCCGATTTCTCTGAAGGTAAATCTTAAATGCTTACAGGAGCAAATAGGATTTGGATGGTGTCAGCAGATAGATGAATGGATAATGTGGCCCTTCTTTGTTCCAGACTTGGACCAACAGAGTTTCCACAGTGACCCAGAGGAGGCCTATCTGCGGGATCTTCCTGAGTTCCCCTCTGTTGACGAGTTTCCATCCATAGAGCCCAGTTTGCTCCACTTCCCCATGCGGGGTCCAGGCCATGGCGATGGAGCCCAGGCTCAGTCGGAGAAGGAGCCGCTGAGCCCCGCCACCCTCCTCATCCAGCACCTGGCCTCGCCTCTGCACTTTGTGAACACGCATTTCAACGGACACGGGCAGCCGCCCGGCGGCGCGGAGAGCGCCCCGCCTGCTTCGGACGTAAAGGAGGAAGCGCAGAAGGAGGCGGCGGTGAGCCAGGGCACGCAGCGCTCCTTGGAGGCATTGAGCGAGGAGATAGTGAGCACGGCCATATCCACTGTCGTGCAGAACACTCTGTCGGCTCTGCTGCGCTCCAGCGAGGCCAGCGAGGAGCCCTCCCTGGCAGAGTTCCTCCCGACTGAATCCTTACCGGGCGTTCTGGAATCCTCCACCCAATCAGCCGACACCGCTGACACTATAGTAGGAGCCCTCGATCCGGACAGAGACCTGGAAGAGGGGGTGACGACAACTGAAAGCGGTACAGGCGAAGATCACCCGGATGACACTCTAGTTCCAACCGAAGAAGAGGACTTTGAGCTTTTGGACCAAAGTGAACTGGAGCAGGTGGATGAGGGCCTGGACAGAGCAGCTCCAGACGCACCGCAACAACCACAGTCATAGCCCCTGGTGCCCGCCTTCCACCTGCTTTCTTTTTTTTTTATCTGTACGTTAAACCTACATCATATCCATACATATAGAAAACATGCATTAACCCCAGAGTTTAAAATATTGGGGGGGTAAAGCTGAGGAGACTTGAGGTAATCTGCTTCCACATTTCAAGATTTGTCTCAGACTTGGAATATTTCTTTGTTAGTCAGACAGCGTTCAGTAGAAGAAAACCTTACTGTACCTTTAAAGGGGACATATAATCATTCATAGCTTCATTGGTAGAAGTTACTTTGATCCATTGGGATCTTTTAACCTGCAAAGGTAGGGTGGGTGCTGGAAAAAAAAACGCTTTTCTTTGGTTAAAATAAAAATAAAATCAGTTGTGCAAAAAAATTCCCAAATTGATCCCAATTTTAAAAATATATTATTTGCCTGTATGGCTATATTTAAGCCTGTATGGTTTAAACCTTATATGGAAAATTAATAAATCTGCAACCAAAGAATCTGATCTCAGCTATTAAAAAAAAAAAATCTTTTAGAAATATTCTGACCAAACAGTTAAATAAAACAAAGAAGATTAAAAAAAAGCCACTCACCCCGGGGAATGAACTTTAGCATACGTCCCACACTAAGCTATCAAGCACAAATGTGTCCCCTTAAAACACACGCAGTGTAAACGACCGATGTGTTCGGTACAGTAGAAGATTAGCTCCTCCTAAACTGGAATGAAGGATTATGGAGGCGTGAGATGTTAAGTTTGTGGCCCGATAAAGTCTGCCAAACTTATTACGGTAATAATGCCCCCGTCTCGGAAATCAATCCCAGTAGAGCTTTATGAAAAGGTCAAATGATGGATTTAGATGTAATAACCATCGATATATGCTATAAATTATTTAAATTAAAAGCCAGCTGGTTGATAAAGAAATCTTAGAGAAAGACTGAAGGTTTATTTTTTATCCTTTTGGCTACCGTAACGATTGTATATAGTAGTTTTAACAACACGATGTACATCCAGGTGTAAATTGTAGGAAAATGTCACGAATCCCTCTGTGAACCTTTTTTTTTTTTTTTTTTTAAGTTTCAAAAAGAAAGCAGCAGCTTTGACCTTATTGGATGTTAAGATAAAGAAACGATACAAACGACTTTCATAGAAGGTGAAATGAAAGGATTCGGTTCAAGTTTTTATCATCATCTGTGCATAATTGGTCCATTTGTGACTGAATTTTCTGCTAATCTAAGAAGAGGATATTGTATAGTTCCCAGGTTATTTTATTTTCCATGCATGCCGTGCATCACGCATGTAGGAAAACTTTACTTTTATTAGACTGATGGATTTTTTTTTTTTTCTCCACAAGGCTGACTAATTTCTTTACAGTTGGCTCAGATGTGATCGAATCTGTATGAAGGGCCTTCTCTGCTTTTTTTTCTTTTTTTAAACCACTCAGCGTCCGACTCTCAGGTTGTACAAAGCGAAAATAACATGACAGAGTATGTATCCATGTCCTGACCAGTCCTAGTGCGTTGTATTTCTACTAACCCCCCTGTTGTTAATAGTGTAGAAATGCAAAGGAAAACTGTCAAAAAGGTGTATTTTCTGCATGTAAAAACAGCACTGTTCAAGTTCTCCTTGTCTACAGATAAAATACTGCACAACTTGTGATGGAGGGAAAAAAACCATTGAATGCTTCATGCAAAAAGAGGTTCAATTTGTGTGATATTTTGTTACTAATGATGAGAATAAAAGTTTAATGTTTAAAGATATCTGTAATAAGAGGTGGGTTGGTAAAGTGTGATATTAACAAAAAAAACCTGAGTTTGGAAGTCGTGTTTCATTCTTAAATACTACTAGAAAATAGGCATTTAACAAAAGGTTCAATTCTGAAAAGAAAAAAAATATATATTTTCTAATTTTTCCTTCTTTCCACAAAGGTTTTAGTTTGACTTTTAATGTATATATATATAAAACTGCTCTGGAGAGTTTTAGGAAGCAAAAGAATAAAAGGACAAAAACTTGAGTATGGAGTCGATAAAACCTAATTTTCTTTTAATTTCTCAGATGCGCTCTTTGCAGTAGATTTTCCTCTCCTGAGTAAGGAGAAAAAAACATTTTTATCACCTTTGATTTTCAAATCTTGTTAACTTTAAGCATTTTTTTTAAGCATGTTAAAGTTTCTAGTGACAAACCTGCTGAAGCTCATCTACACAAAGCTTAAGTTCCTCCCTCAGTTTTTCGTCAACCGTCACATCCAGCAGAGCAGACCATTTGCCATCCATACATGTAGCTGGAACTGAGAGAATGGTCTCATTTGGGAGATCATACAAACCTGAATACGAGATGCATAACAGTAATTATATTATTCCCAGATTTGATTCTTTGTGACATATATCTCTGTACTGGGTTCTAACCTGCGCTAAGTGTAATGGAGAAGATCTGATCTTCAGCATTAGCCCCGTTCCAGGCCTTCAGCACTCTCAGGATGCCATTGGCAGCTGAAATAGCAGCTGTACGGCCGCTCCTTGAAACCACAACATGATGACGACGAACCTGTTGTTGAAATTCTGTTTCCAGCCATTTCCTGGAATAAAGGATGCTTGTGTCTTTTATTGTACTTGATGCAAATAGGGTATGTGTTCATTCAGGGCAAACTAAGCTATTGTTTTCATTGTTTGCACTGGCTGAAGCCTCTCTGATCGTTAGCTTTGTAATTTGATAGGTGGCAGATGCAAGCTCTGAAAAACGACCAGCCAGATGAATAAGCAATAACTAAAGGCAGAATAAACCTGCTCTGGTGTCTGTTGCTGGGGTATGATTAAGTTCATTTCTTTTAGTGTTCAATAGTGATACAGTTCAAAATAATTTTGCCCTTCTTCTCAATAAGGCCATAATTAATATTTCTCTATTTAAGTCATGCCATTTGCAAGCCAATTCAGCACAGTGTGGTCAGTAAACAAAATATTGCAGCTTCTACCACACTTTTACCTTCCACTCAATTTTCCTTCTCAACTCAGTGAAATGCGACTGTTTATCGATTCTAATAAGTAATCTCGATGCCTGCTGGACAATCTGGTTACCATTCTTCCACGTGTTGTTTAAGAATGTTGTTAGCAAGAAATGCTTTTTTGATTAGATGAAATACTCCAATCTGATTTTTTTTCAGCCTCAAGCCACCATAAATTACAGCAAAACTTAAATATTTCACATTGTGTCTTATGAATCCACATAATCTGCAATTTAACTGGATCTAAAAGTTTAGCACACCTGTCATGTAAAACCTGGAGGACTGATTGGGAGAAGAAAGCCGGTCCCCTGATGGCCCCTCGATAGTTGAAAACCTTCGCCCTCTGCAGGTCAATGATGAAACCGCCACTGATGTTCCCCCACACAATGACGTCCCTGACATCTGCAGCAGACCAAATGGTAACCGTTCTCTTTTAAGTCGCAGAAGAAGCACATCATAGATACCTTGTGGTCTAACGCCCATCTTCTTCGCAACCTCAGCTCTGGCTTCATGCTCCAGCTGCGTTGCCGTGGCAACAAATTGGTGGCTGTTGATGGAAGGTGCGTTCTCCAGAAGCAGGGAACATCTGAGGTTGAGAAAGGTGTCACCGGCCACCATCACCTTCACGTGTTTGTTTGCTCGGCGATCGATTAGACGCCCATACTCTCTGTAGAGCTCGCACAGGTTTGTAACTCTGTCGATCTCCGCATCATGGTTTAAATCATCCAACAGAAGGATGAGGTTTGCGTCATGGAAAGCCTGATCCAGATCTGTGTGAACTGTCACCTAAAAAGTGGCTTTGGTTAATTCTATTTATAAATTTATTTGGTAAATCTATGTTAGAATGATTTACCTGATGGAGCGCATCAAGTGCCAGATCTTCAACGTCTATCTTCAGCCTTTGTAATTCTTCCCTGTCCCCCTCCAGGTCCAACAGATGGAGTGACACTGCCTCGTTAGGAAACATCTCAGCAGACAGCAAACTTGGAATCAAGATTTGGCATGTTAATCTGAGAGCACTGGAAAGAGAGAGAGAGAGATTAAGTCACATGGATTGTAAGGGTTGTTTTGTTATCAGAATATTTTTTCCTAACTTACCCAGTTATCCATACATAAAGGGGCTTAATTAGACTGAGGCGAAGCTGTTCTTCAGCAATCAGGCTTAGTTGTGTTTGCAGATTCTCTGCTGCAATTCTCTGCATCACATCTGTGGACATGTCTGGGGTTATCCCATAGTAGTCCTTATAAAACAAACAAGAAAATGAAAAAGCGGTGCTCAGAAGTGACTGGTGGAGGCCATCTGGGTTTTTAATCTAGTCATTCAGCCACTTTAATTAATTCCGAATGAGTGACCAAAATTGCTGGTTATTAAACATCAGATCCATTTTAACATTAATTTAACAAGAATACATTTTTTAAACATATTTTTATGGAAAAGCATAAAGATGCTTTTTTGGACACGAGTAAGATAGATCACAAAAACATTGTATTTTATAAATGCTGAGCTACCATCTACAGGAATATGAGGTTTTAGAGCTTAAAGACTAGCACTGACAGTTGGGACTGACTTGGACAAAAACAGTAAAGTCAAATTTGAAATGTTTTTCACTAAAGATTTTTAAAGAGCGAAGGAGTCTGTGCCTACCCTACAGTGATCCAGGAAGTCACTGAAGCCACCCAGGAGCATCCCTTTACCATTTTGCTCCACCAGCTCTCTCCAAACTATAGGAGAGCTATCGTGGTTCCAGCTGTTTCTTAGGCACGTGGATTCCAGCCAATCCTGTCAGAACAATAGCAGTAACAACATGGGGACTATTGAAGACAGATGAACAAGAGTAATTCTGATGCATTCAAGATTCATAGAAAATTATTTATCAAAAAACAAAAACATAGTTCATAATAGTGCAAATAAATTGAATAATATATAATTCAGAATTTTCATTAAGTTAAATGTTATTTAAACATTTTTTCTCAATTCATGTTAAAGAATATTTGCAGGATGGATTAAAACTCAATAAGATTCTATCTTTAGATTTCATTTCTATATTTTGTCTGGCCATTTTAATTGTTTATCATTTACAGAGGTGTGTTTGAAAGTATAGAACAGAAGAGGATTAGGGACACTGAAAAAATAACAAAAGTTGAATGATTTTTATATCTTATTTCAGTTTAATATGGGGAAAAAGTCAGAATTCTGACTTTAATCTCAGAATTCAGAGATTAAAGTCTGAATTTGAGATTAGTCAGATATCTGAGGGGAAAAAAAGTCAGAATTGTGAGAAAAAAGTCAGAATTCTTAGATTAAAGTCAGAATTCGGAGATAAAAGTCAAAATTCTGAGATTAATCTCAGAATTCTAACTTTTGTTCTCAGAATTTAGACTTTGATCTCAGAATTCAGAGATTAAAGTCTGAATTCTGAGATTAAAGTCAGATTTCTGAGAAAAAAAAGTCAAAATTGTGAGGAAAAAGGTCAGAATTCTGAGATTAAAGTCAAAAGTCTAAGATAAAAGTCAGAATTCTGACTTTTTGTGATATACTGAAATAAAATGTAAAAATCAATTAACTTTTAAATTTTTTTAGTGGCCCTAATCCTCTTCCGGAGTACGGAGACATGAAATTTCCCAAAATAATTAACTACCTTCCACTCAGCTGGCAGGACAGAGATCTTATGGACCCTGAAGTTTGGCAGAGATCGCTGCAGGATGTCTGCTAACAGCTCCGCTTTGGCATAATAAGGACAATCTGCCTTACCTGTAGTAAAATAAAAACAACAAAAAATGTATATAATTATCATTAGAGATATGGGGATTCTTTACAATTTAGAAAGCAGTGAAATAGAAATTTACCAGCGAGCACAAATTTTGCCATGTTACGTAGAACGCCTCTGTTGCCTAGTAACTGTGGTCGGTTGTAGCTCGAATATGACTCCGTGTTGGAAACATAAAAAATATTTCCTGAAAATGTTTACGTAAATACAGTTATATTTCAGCGTGGGATGGCGAACAAACAAACACATATTTTCTCATTTAAATCCCAAATTATTTATATTTCCTTTTTCAGAAAGGTTTATCCTAAAATGTTTCGATAGGAACCGAAATGCCGAGGTTGCTAGCGGGGAAACAATATCGTAACGGACGCGTTTTTGCATGCACATGCGAATGGATATGAAGGCTAACATTAGCTTGGTGAATTTAACTTAATTTTTTATTTTACTTACTGTCATTAAATGACATATCTCGTCGACTCTACTTGGGGTTGCAAGTATGATAAATTAAGTGTTTAATTTGTATGTTTTAAAAAGAATAAAAGGCCAGCTAACGAGAGCTAGCTTGTTATTTAAGTTGAAGGACTGTTGACAACAAGGTCTGTTGACCTTGTTAGTCGATTTTTTATTGCTACACATCTTTGTTGACGTTTAAGATGATTAGTAACCCGTAATGTAAAAAATATAATAAAGTGAGAGTTATAGCTTAACATTACATTTAAAGATTATTTCTACATGATCTGCAGGATGTATTCAAAATAGTAGAATAAATAGATTTCCTGCACATGCTTAGATAACAATAAAAAGTCCATCAGCACAGTATAAAACCCACAACATGAATACTAGGATGACAAATGAGGTCATGAGATGGTCACTGCGCTTTTGCTATAGGAGGTTTCCATGGAAACCTCTCAGTACTCCAATGCCAGCAGCATTTGACAGCATAGCTTTAACTAGAAATGACACAATCTGCTGTTGGGGCGGTAGAAGGAACCAAAATTACCTTTCTGGGACTCTTGGTGCAACAAGATTCTTCTCTCATGGAGGAAATCAGAATGGGGACCTAGAGGAGAGCAACAGTGTCACCTCAGAGCGCTCACTTTCTACTGACACTAAGATTGACCAGACCTCCTCACAGCAGAGACATCGACGTTCCCATTTCCAGGATCTCCTGCATCAATGTGGCTCCCCATCAGACGTGTTAGACCTTGCATCTAAGTATTCAGCCACAGTTCACCAGGTCAGCAACTGTCTCAACCAAATGTGGACGTCCACTAAGAAGATGTCAGACGAACAACGGCGCTATGAGTTGCAGCTGATGTTTGAGCATCCTGAATTCGATCATCTTTTGCAAAGGGCGATGAGGTCCATAAAGCACATGCGCAACAATGATGTAGCTTACTCTCTGTTAAGCATGGTCAATCTGGGGGTTCCTCAGCAGAGCCGTGTGATCCAGACCTTTGTACGAACTTGCCAGGTTAGAAATTGACCTTTGTTTTGCAAAGGCATTGTTGGGTTTTCATGTTAAGCTCAAATTTATTTTATTCCCAAACAGGAGAGATTGAATGAATTTGATGTAAAAACGTTGTCTATCTTGGCCTCTGCTCTGGACCATATGAAGGATAGTCAGAATGCCGTGGCTCTAAAGGAAGGCATGAGGTATCACTTTGATATTCTACTTTGATATTCTACTCCAAGTGTTGGAAAATAATTTAAACTTATTTTACACTAATTGTTCCAATGTTTCAGGCTGGTGGTTGAGATGCGTCTTCCTGAGATTAAAAATGTCTTGGCTCTTCAGACCATGATGCGACTCCTGGGAAAAGATGCACCAAAGGAGCTCAAGCAAAAACTAGAGGTAAGCTTGAGTCTCATTTAAATACTTTTGTTTTAGATTTTCTCTGGTGCCTGAGAAACACCTTGCATAAGTATTCATGATTGCTGAACTTGTTTCTTGCTTGATTTGATTTTGTTTTTACATTTACTCACATTACAGCCACGTTTCTTATTGTATAACTTAATTATGTTTGTTTGGTACTACTTTAAATCATTCAAGAAGTTTGAAGTTTAACGTAAAAAAGGTATTCAAATTTCCTACTTGGAATTAGTAACATATTTGTTGAGTTTAATTCAAAACAGTTTCTAGATCTGGGCTTTATGTAGATCAGAGGTATTCAAACCTTTTGCCACATATGCCAAAATCCTTCATCTGAAAGTGCCTGCAGGTCACAAAAACCTGATGTTTAAATTTAAATTTTCATAAAATTTTATTATTTTTTTTTTATTCTCAGAGACAAGAACTCTAATTAAAAACAATGTCTAAAAATAAATGAAATAAATTGCAGATTTGGGTTCATCCAGGTCTGTTTTTTGAATGAAAGTTGGTGGACATTTGTTTTACTTTCACTTTAAAAAAAAAAAAAAAGCCAAAGCAAAAGTAATGTTTATTTAAAAAAACATATTTCCCTTGAAATAATTTAAATTTGCTCAAATTGTAAATAAGTTGTCATGTTCATCAACCCCCTAGCCTAGTAAACTAGCCCCAAAATAATTTTTTCCTGCAAATTTTAATTACACATGTAATCTCACATTTAGTCTTGTTAATCAGGCTATCAACCCCCTATAATGACAGGTCAAGTGTTTCATTCTTTTATTATGGTCCCAATGTTTCAGGCCAGAGGCCACAAAATAGCTCCTGATCCACATTTTTCACCCCTTAGTTTAAAGCTATTTATAAACAGGCTTACGTTTTGATCTAAAAAAAATGTTATTATAGCTCGGCTGCTGTGTTTAGAGATTTTGTCCTCCTGAAAGCTAAACCTGCATCCCAGGTCTTCAGTTTTTTGCAGCTTCTAACAGGTTTTCTCCAATAGAAAAGAAAGAAAGTAAATCAGACCTAAATTTGGCTTATGGTTACACGATGTAAAGAGAATAATTTGCTATTAAATTGTTTAGATTCAGGGTCTTGGTTGCTAAAAAACCTAACGAGTCTTTAAAGCACTTGATATGTGCTTTTTACAACTTTTTCTTTTTTTGAACTTTAACACCTTGCTTTTTTTTACCCTAAATCCTTCTTTTGTTGTTGTTTTTTTTATCTGAATCTATCTGTTATCTTCTTCTGAATCCAATCTGAGTCGTCAAATATTCTGTACCCTGTGTGTTGCAGAGAAAGGCTCTTTCAATGGCAGACGAATTCAGCCTTCCCAATGCCCAATACATGATCTCCACTATGGCCACTATGGGCTTTCACTCCAAACCACTGCTGAAAATTTGTAGTGGGAAAATCCAAGGTAAGATTTTATCCACAAAAAAGATCTGTTGATGACTGCAACCATTTTTCATTTCTATTTTCTGTTGTATCTGTGTTTTCTGGTAGAAAACCTTCATGGCATCCCTTTTAACAGACTCTACAACGTGCTGCAGTCCTGTAGGGAGCTTCTCTACAGAGACATAGATCTACTTAATAGCGTTTCAGGCTATGTTGCGTCAACGCTTGACATATGGACTAATAAACAGGTGCTAAAAATGAGCATTTATTTTGTCCTGATGTTGTAAGACTTACCAACCACATTCAGGTCATGAAAACCTGGCCTCTTTTTTGTTTTGTAGCTGGTCTTCTTCCTGTCTGTGTTTGAGGACCTTCTCTTCTGCCCCACTTCCTTAATGGAGGCCTATACTGAGAAAGTGATCACTAACGCCGAAGCCCTCACCCTGAAAGACCTTCTGTGTGTCCTAAAAGTTTACTCCTCTTTTAACTATGATCTGCGGCATCATAGACAACAGTAAGTCTCCAACCTTTCCCGACCAACCAGACTCTGCGGACTTTAGAGATGTTTTTACTTTTATTGTTTTTAATCTGGCGGTTTTAAACTGTAAAAGTGAACTTCTATTTCATTGAGACATACATTTGTTGAGTCATTAATCCCAATGATAATGATAGGAATTTAATGGGTTGATTTTAAATTTTAATCAACTCCAAACAATGTGCAAATATTAAGCTTTGAAAACTATTCTCAAAAGGTTTGTAGCGTTTAAAAATGTCTGGGGAATAGATTGGGTCATTTTAGCTCATAGTTGCAGCATTTACACACAGAAAAGAATGACTAAATATTATTTATTATTATGAATATTATTATTAGTTGGAATGCTTTGCCTGGTACTGTGTGGACACTTTTTTGTCTTTAAGTGTGACCACTTTTTGCATATTTTGTAAAATGTTTAAAAAGCATTTAGTGCTTAAAAGTTGAAGATGGTTCAGTTTAGAGGTTTAAAAAAAGAAATGCTTTTGGGACTCCAACAGGACTCCCTGGTTTGTTAGTCCCTGTTAGTATGAACTAACTTTTTGAAAAGATAATAGAAGTGTGTAATTTTCCTCTTTATTTCCTTTGGTTATACAAACTGCATTTTAGTCGCAGCTTTTACTAAAAGACTGGAGTTAAACTCGTAATTATTTAACTCCCTGTCAGATTTAAAGGTGAAATCGTTTACTTTCAAAGTAGATGTTTGCATCATATAACAGAAATCAGAAAGTAATCTCTCATAAGATAACATTACATGCAATTGGGAATTGAAATAGTACTGAAGGGCAGCAAGATTGATAATCCTCTTTAAAAAAGTTCGGAGTGTATCACCTATAAAAGGCAAAAATACTGTGGTTCATTTCAGGTAAATGCTACTGATTGGTTTGATTATTTGAGAAAGAATTTGGAGTCCTCTTCTGGCCCCTTGTACCTGCAAAACCCTCTGTCAGTTCCCTGCCTGCCCCCTGAGTAGAACTAACAAAACAAGGGGAAATCAAAGCAGAATGCATATTTGTTCCTACAGTGCAGGATCTGTCTTTAGGGCAGACATGCCCAAAGTCGGTCCTCGAGGGCCGCTTTCCTGCAGGTTTCCCTGCTTCAGCACAACTGATTTTCATTGATAGCTAAATAACGGGCTTTTGCTGAACTGCAGTTATCAGAATCAGCTGTGCTGAAGCAGGGAAAAGCCGAAAACCTGCAGCACAGCGGCCTTCGAGGCCCGACTTTGGGCACGTCTGCTTTAGAGCCAGAACTCTGATCTCACACACAGCAGTCACCAGTTCTTACCTTTATTCGGAAATGTTGTATATCTTTGCATCTCTGTTAGAAGTTAAACATAGTTTTTTAAACAATCATAAAATTAAGATTGTATTGGACAAAACAAAGCAGCGATGTTCCCTTAAGGATGTTTTTTACTGTCTTCCCTCTTACTTGTAGAGTAGCACTCTGTGGTTTATGCTTTGCCTTTTTTGTCTTCGTCTTATAAAAACATTTCGGTCGATATTAAAAAATAGCACAAAAAAAAAACATTAATGATTGTTCCCTTAAGTGTTCTGTTGTCTTTAGGGATGTTTATGGGGTTTTTTTTTCTCTCATAACTCAAAGGTTTCTTGATAGTCTCAGCAATGCTCTTAACTCCTACCTTCCCAAGATGTCTGGTTTTGAGTTGCTAAAGGCTGTCTACTGTCTGTGTCTGCTGAACCACTTCCCCTCTGCACTCCTGGAGCAGCTCCTGAATGATAGCATGTTGGAGCAGCTTGCATGTAAGGATAAACTATAACCTATAAACATGCACTAACTAGTTGGGCTGTTTGCGTTTGCATATTTAAATTAAAGCAAATTCTTTCTCCTCAGCTGGAAAGTTCCCTAAAAGCAGAGAGACAATGTTTCAGAGAATTGATCTCTGTCTCCGTCTTGACCGTCCTCCTCTCCCTAAGCCCCTGACTGTCCCCTCATCTGCCCTGGGAGACCCCGCCTCCAGCAGCCAGTCAGTTAACCCACAGCTCTCAAAGAGCCTGCAGAGTGTGCTGGCGGATCAGGAGAACGCAACGCTGCAGGAAATGTCGGTGGTGGAGAACTTCTACGTCATAGGTAAAGATGCAGCGTTAAGGAAAAATGTCAAAGTTAATAATCTGGTTTATTACAACCTTTTTTTTTAAATGTTTTTAACTCCAGATGGTCTTATAACCAAGCCGCTTCCGAGCCAAACAGATGTGATGGAAACTAGTAGTTCTCCAGCAGACAGCAGTCAAAGGTAAGGAAAAAAACAGCAGTAGACTGTGGTTGGAAGCAAGTTCAAGCTCAGTCTGCAAATCAGCAGTCTGTGGTATTCTTTTTTTTATGTATGATTGTAAATGCTTGTGTCATATTTGGTAAAGTGTGCTGTGAAAGCTGCAATGAGGATGTTTCCAGGCGTTCACATGTGTCTGGAAACTCCCACAATAAACATCAGTTCTAAAAAGAGGTAAAATACAGAATAAAAGTAGAAAACAAAAAAAGGACTAGTCAGTGTGTATTTACATAAAAACTTGGGTGAAATCTAATCTAATCTGTTTTCTTATTGATAGAGATTGTTATATATGTTTTCCTTGGAAATGAAAAAGTTCTCATGCTGCTTTTAAAAAAATAACATAATTTTCTAATAAAAAGTTTGTAGATGTAGAGGTCACTAATATCTTCTTTTGAAAGTTTTGGAATAGCAGCAAGAGCATTTTTGTGGAAAAAAGATTCACCTTTTTACCTTTGGATCCTTTGACTGTCATGTATTACCATCTCTAAAGGTTTTTATTGTTGCATTTTAGAGAAAAATGTGGTTTTCATTTAACTTTTCCATTTATTTTCAATAATTTGTTGGGCTCTGTTGTTATTTGGATTTCTGTCTATATTTATTCTCTATTGCTATGAATCCTAACTTAAATACTTGGAAAATGCTAGAATAAAGACAGTGGGTTTAATTTCTGTGCAGGACTGTTAGAGCTACTCTTTTAAATTGGCTTTGGATTGAATATATGCAGCACCTTCCTCATTTGTTGGTATTATAAAGAGGGATACAAACACTGATTATTACTGAAATTAGTCTTTTTTTTATTGTAGTAGCAAAGGCACAGTGGGAAAACTTAAACTTTCTTTAAAAGTATAGATATTGTTTGATTTAATTATTTCCCTCCTTAAGTCTCAATGTCAGATTAAAATTTATGACAATTACGTCTTTTATGGGCGGGGCTTAACTGTCCATCTGTCCATTGTGAAATCATAATTCTCCCAGGAAGTGATCAAGGTCTTTAAGCAGCAAAGCAAATCCTGACAATCTCACCATCAGGATGAAATTAATCTATAGAAAGTCTATAGAAAACATTCCCCAAAGACCTGATCATCTGGTTGTTTATTGAAAAATATGAGATTTTTTTTAGGTTTTCAGGAGTTCAGCTGTGGTTCTGGAACTCCTAGATGACATAAAACTCTCCCAAAAACTCTCTCTTTTTTAGATGAATCAAGAACTGAACTATCTATTGAGGTAAATTAGGAAACTAGAGGTTCGAATGTTGTTCTGAGTTCTCCTGTGGCCTATTGGATAAGTCGTTGATGCACTCTAGGGTGTCATTTTGGAAGGACTGACAGTCTTGGAAAGATTTTCTCCCTTTCATGAAGAATGTCTCACGGTTATTGGAGCTCATTAGAAATGTTCCCTTTCAGGCTAATTAATGCCGATGTCCTTTGTTCTTTTCTTCAGAGCAGGATATCTAGCCGTTTTAACATATTTTTTAAGATATGTTGTCAGAAAGGTTCCATTTACATTATTTTCTGATAATATATGTTTGGCAGTAATCAGACCTGGATTTAACTTAATTTTCAAATTCAGAGTAATCAGAGTAATTTCAAGATCAAACAAGGGTAATTATATTTTCACATCAGACAAGATAGTTTGGATTATTTTTCCTCAATAAATGACGTCAATATTTAAAAATTGCATCTTAATATATTTTCTTGATATTCTAAAATGTGTTGATTTAAAATTGCAGGCGCACTGATTACAGGTTACCTTCTGATCATAGATTCCTGATCTTTAAAAAGCCTGACTTGCTAATTTTGATTTTGATACAGATTTGGTTTTATAACTGACTGTTATTTTTATCTTACTGAAAAAGCACTTATCATTGCCTGTAAAACAATAAAAAAAAAAACTCTTGAAACATCTGCTTTCAAATATAAAGGTTTAAAGCAATGACAGTGGGTGACTTCCAGACCTTTACAGAGGTAGATCGGATTTGGAAGAAAAGATCAAGATCGGCTTAACGTCTAAATATCAGCCGATAACAGCTCTCCCAAAATTAAGAAAATCGGTGCATCCCTATTTGAACTATCTGAAGGAAAAAAGCGAAAACATATGAAGTCTGTAAGAAGGCAAAACCAAATTCAAAAGACTGTTTATTTGAAAACTGTTTCATCACAATCAGTCAAAAAAAAAAAACAGACACAAAACTTAATAATTTTATACATCAAAGTGGCATTGAGTTGTAATTGAATATTCTCAATAAAAAATTGGTAACAAAAAAAAAAAAAGTTAAAGACGAGAACTAGTAGTATTGTCAACATTTAACTTCAGGCCATATTATTGTTTTAGGGTATAGTTACCTGGAAAAAAAAACATTAAAATATGATACAGACAATGTTAAATCAACAGAAATGATTAAAAATTGAAATCTGTGAAAAGATTTTTGCAAAATGTTATCTCTTATCTTTTATGTTTTTTTATTTTAAATATGTCACTCCAAAACATACATACATTTAAATTCTCTGTATACTAACTTAATCATTAAAAAAAATTATACTGACACATGTATTAATTATTATTGGGTTGTTTTTTTTTATTTTTTTATTCTAGAATTGCCGTTATTTATGCACCAAACTCTACTTTTTGCTACGGTACTTCCCACCCTCGTGGCCCACTCGCTCTCAAGATCCGTCATCTGAAGATCCTGGGATACACTCCTGTATTGGTGAGACTTATGTTTGATTTTACTGATAAATCTCTTCCTGTTTTCTCTTGGTAGCAACTGAAGTTACCAAATTACATTTATCGATTAGCCTTTGCTATAGATGTGATGGCCTTTATTGTGAATTCAGGTTGTTTTAGAGAGTTGAAACCTTCAGAAAGTATCTGTTATCATCCGCATAGAGTGTGACATTGATAAAAAACACCCAGGTTTATGTAGCCGCCTGTGTTGCAAAGTCTGTTTAAATCAGTTGAAGCATATTTTGCATGTTTTCTCTTTCCCTGAAGGTAACAGAGCAGCACCTACAGCCATTGTCTGAGGAGGAGAGGACAGATGTTATACGAGGACTTCTATTTCCAGAACATGCATCAGAACCACAAACAAAAGAGGAACATGTCGAATCCGGAACAGTTTAGACGGTGTAAACAAGACCAAAAAGCCACGTAGGAATGTGTGCAGATTGAAAGTTTGTTCAGTTGAAAACCTGTACATAATAAAAATAATAAAGTATTTTAAAACAATAGGCTCTGAATGTTTTCTGCATTTAGGTAGAGCTAAAAGATCAAATATGATTTTTTGTTTTAACATAAATAATTGTTTTGGGGCTATTTATAGGATGTTATGTAGGTTTAAAAAAGCGTTACAGCAATTACCTGAGCTGATCTTTTCTTGTGCTGTTGTTTTTTTAGTCATTATGGAAAAATGGAGTGATGACTATCAAATGACAAGTGATTTCAATATGTTTTAGTCATCTGCTTGCCTTCCCCGGCAGCTTCAAGGCTTCACAGAAACACTAGGCTAATTTTGTCAGAACTTGCGGTGGTTATGAAAAACCTGCTACTAAATGAAACCAATAAAAGCAGCGTGAGCGCTTGCACAGAAAGTGCAAGGTGAGCACGGTAAAGGTGGAGCGCTTTGAAGCCGCGACCTCTGCAGAAAACCCATACCCATAACGAAATGATAAAAGGAGGGCAGGAAATGGTGCAACTTGTTATTTTCAATCTGCTTGCAGCTCCATGTGTTTCTGCTCATCATCAACCTCTGTATAATCTCAATGTAGTTTCTCTGAAAAGAACCCAGAAAGGTGTTGCGGCTTGCAAAACTGTATTTATCTTTTTGTAGTTTGTGGTCATTCTTGATCCACAAGGTGTTGCACTGATTTACAAACTGAAAAAAAGGCTCTTTAAATGTGGTTAAATCCCCTCATGAAGGCACCACCTTCTGTTTTGACCACAAAGATGAGGGGGTTCCTGACTTCGCATGACTCGTTACAGCGAGTGAAACAGGAAGTCAAAAAAAAAATCTGCCCTTGTTTCTAAAATACACACAATTTCTCAGACACCCACTTAAACGAAGTGTTGCTACACAAAAAAAGTCTCTTTAAACGAAATATACAGATTAAACACCCCAATTACAACAATGTTATACTTATTTTAAGCTCTAGACACAGTCAGTGTGTTGAGGGAGAAGCTAGGAAAATAATCCAGTGACGTCCGAATCATCAGAAGTGTTTTGGTATAGGATGCTGGATTCCTCTTTTCTTCCTGCGGTTTGGAGGTGCTTTGGGTTTGGTGTTGATGTAGTCATTCTGGGAATCTGCATCCTGCATTTTGTGCTGCAAGACAAAAAGGGGAGCAGCTGATATATTGACATCAAGACATACTGTCACGGAGTAGCAAGTTCTTTCCTGCATTTTTCAACACACTTCAATTCGGTTTATTTATATAGGGCCAATTCACAACACTTGTCATCTCAAGGCACTTTACAATTCAACCAGATCATCCAATCAGATTGATTCAAAGTTTTCTATCTAAGGAAAACCAGTTGATTGCATCGACTCATTGACTCAAATGCAATCCCACACACTAAGCATGCTTGTAGCGACAGTGGAGAGAAAAAACTCCTTTTTAACAGGAATAAACCTCCAGCAGAACCAGGCTCAGTGTGAGCGGCCATCTGCCGAGGCCGACTGAGGTTCAAGAAGACAGTAGCAGAGTGGGAGAATAGAGATAGAATGAAGCAGAATGATGAAATGGGGGTCCCTATGTCCTCCAGCAGTCTACGCCTATAGCAGCATAACTATAGAGATAACTCAAGATAACCTGAGCCACTCTAACTTTATCAAAAAGGAAAGTTTTAAGCCTAGCCTTAAAACTAGACAGGGTGTCTGCCTCACGGACTAAAACTGGTAGTTGTTTCCACAGGAGAGGAGCCTGATGCCCACTTAAAGCACATTAAACTTTTTAGTGTTAAATTTAACACCAATCCAAGTACATTTGGTCCCATTCAGAATAAGTATTAAATTAGAATAGAAGAATAGAATAGAAAATTCCTTTATTGTCCCACAATGGGGAAATTCAGGTGTTTACAGCAGCAAAAAGGTTATAGAAAACAATAACTCTCTACATAGTGTATATTTTACTCCAGTTGTTGTAATAACTCTAAAACAGTCAGTGTACTTTAACAATATGGATTTTACTGTGTAGAAAATATCTAAAGAAAAAGGTGCATGAAATACTTCAGGTAGGTAGATACACCTGAATTACAATTATTTAAAGTGTCTCAAAAATTTATATAGTCCTGTTAAATGTTTCTGTAACCAAAAAATGATTTGTTTAACATATTTAAAACTTTTTTTTTCATTGTACTGTACAATTCTACTAAGAAAAAAAGCATATTAAAAGGTTACAAATGCACTATGACACTCTTAAATGTTACCTACACTGCAAAAAAATTAAAAGTTGACAGACTTTAAAATGTTAAGGCAACAAACTTCAGCAAATTTGTAACTTTAGGAATTAAACGTAATCATTTAAGTATTACTTTTAAGTTCACCAAACATTGAATTCTGTTATTGCAGCTTTAGATGCTAATTTTTTTCTCTTACTTAAAAATCATACTTTTCTTTCTAAATGGAGAAAATTTGTCATCTACATTTTATGTCATCTTTTTTTTGTTTCAGTAACAGTCTGATTTTGAATTCTCCTACCAAGACATACATATTGTGCTCCCTAATCATTAAGCCCCTCAACTGTAACTTAACTACAGGACCACTTTCAACTCAAATAATTAAATAAGGATTCATTCTCAATGTACAGAAAATACAATGTTATATTGATTAGCAGCATCACTTTAGCATCAATTTATATTCTTAAAATTTAACATTAAAATAATATTGAGACTCTTCACTCAAAAGCCAACTTCAAAAGTTGGTTTTGCAGTATTTCACAACAAAAACCCAAAATTTAGTTGAATTTTCACCTTTTGAAATAACCAACAACTTAAAAGAACTCACTAGATAATGTTAAAGATTATAAATACCTTAGTTTTCTGAGCTGATTTAAATAATTGTTGCTATAATTAACTGAATTTTTCAGGATTACACGACAAAAGTAGTTCAACTCTTAAAAAAAGTTGTTTTTTTTACACTAATCAAAACAGCTTTTACACTTAAAAGATCCTTCACTCTTCTTTTTTGATAACATAAAATAATTGAATTTACCTCTGCATTTAACCCATCCCCTTGGTGAGCAGTGGGCTGCCATTGTGAGGCGCCTGGGGAGCAGGGTGGCGTTAAGGGTCTTGCTCAGAGACCAAGAGTGGCAGTCTCTGGCAGTGGGGCTTGAACACAGAACCTCAGGATTCCAAGCTCTATCATATGGTGATACCTTACAAATATCCAAATTTATCTAACTACCATAATGTCTCCTGCCCTCTGCCTCCTTCAGTTGATCCTATAGAGTTTCTTTTGGGTTTAGTTCTAGACTCTTGGCAGACAATTTCAGAATTTAGATGTTCTTAAGTTGAAGTCAGTATTTTTTAAAACGTACATTTATCTTAGGTAAAGACAGCTGTTATGGTGCTGTAACTACCATTTGAATTGTTGTCTTTTTCTTTTGCCAGAATAGATATGCACCATATAGCCATAATTACAGCAACATTGCTGTGTGCCATCTGTGTGTAGAGAATACTGCATGGACTGTGAGGGTTAGTTAATTCTTTAAACAACATGTCAGAAGTCAGGCTCTCCACAGCTGTATTATATTTGTTTTAATGCAGCACAAAACTGAAAGATTGCAAATATGATATCCTGCAAGACATTTGATTTGAACTTTATATCAGGTCTATTTACACTATAACTGAAAGTTTAGTTTTTAGGGGGTTATTTTTTTCTTAAATGTAATTGTACAAGATAGAAGCCTCAAAAAAGGTTAAAAAAAATGTCTTTAAATGAATACATCATTCTTGCACCTTTTTTCCAAAATCACTATTTCATAAACTTTAGAGTTATTGACACTATTGGTAATTATGGTTTACATTAGCATTATTAAATAAAATGCTACATAGTGTACATATTTAGAGCAATGCATGCCTTATGTGAAATGCACCAATGCTACATAATTAAGTGTTAGTTTATACAATAAAATAATATAATGACATGAATATGTAGTGTTTCTTTGCAAGTGCTAGTTAAAGTTATAAACTAACTGGTGATACATTTCCTGAGCAGTGATGTGAGTTTTTTCATATCTTTAAACCATCTTTGTGAAAAGCTGATTTTGCCATACAGTAGGGATTTGATATTCTGCTAATCATTAGGTTTAGGCACACAACGTGCAGGTGAGGCACACATTGATGTCATATAATAGGCAATTGCTCAGCGTTTGCATGTGCAAAATGCAATGTTGACATAAAATGGTAATAACAGCATAAATTTGGTTGTCCAATGTGTCTGCCTGCTAGGAAAAAGCAGATATATATATTTTGAAGGCGTCTGGGTCTAAATAATTGTAATTTAGTGAATGTTGCATTCATAAGCCTCCGTGTTTCCATAGACATACATTTCTAGAACAATTTATACATTTTATCAAAATAAATCTTCTATTTGAAACTAAAAAAAATAAGTTGAATATTTATTTCCTGACTAGCTGATGCGATTTTCACTTGATTCTCTCAGTGTTTCTTGTCTTATCATTACCATCAACCCGCTGCAATCTGCAACCTCTCCAAAAACCAACCTTATATAACACAGAGAGGAAAAACTCAATCCGTCAATGTTGTCCTTCTAACTATTAAGATAGACCTGGTGGCACTAATCGGTCTGTGTTTACATATTAATAAAAACGTGGGTGTGGATCAGTGGTTTAAGTGGTTCCTGATTTGATTATTCATATTTCTATGCATCTGTATTCAGTGGCCTATCAAAAAACACTCTTTTTAGGCATGTCATCATATACAGAAATTGCTGAGTGTATAATTTGCACTTTTTGCAAAAATAATGACTGTAACCATGTGTTGCGTGCCAGGAAATACTTTTCTATCCCCGCTATTGGTTTGTACGCTACAAAAAATGTAAATCTATATGAGTAATATTTTCTTCGAATAAGTGCATTTTTTTCTTGAATTGAGGAGGTAAGTGAGACCTTTTGCCAATGGAACAAGACAATTTATATTTAGAATAAGAAAAAAAATATTTCAGTGTCTTATTTCAAGTGTATATTATATAATTAGTTTAAGAGTAAATATACTCATTCCATTGGCAAATCATCTTACTTATCTACTCAAATTAGGGTTAAATACACTTTATTGAAGACACTAATTAACACTTATTAATGCTTACTGATTTATTTTGGATTAATCAATGCTGGTTATATCCAATAAAGAGCTAATGAGCCCAAAACATACATTTAAAATAGCTTAACACCCATAGCATTTATCAGTGCTCAAAGTTAACATATGTAATGTCTACTTATTAATATTCTAATATTCTTTAATGCCCAGTTAACATATATTACAGTTTGGATAACATAAATTGAAATATACTAAAAGGTATAGTGGAGGATTTCCTGGCAATTTTTGAAAAGACCTGCCCTCTCCGCTTAAAACAAGCACAAAAAAAAATGCACATGCAAAACCCTATACCCACTCCTAAGAGGGAGCACCTATTAAACGTGTGCACGAGCGTGCACGAGCCAATTTCTCCTCGTGCGCACTCTATTTGTTGCATTGCTCATAAAAGCTCACTTTCCAAAAGAAGGTTTGCAATTTTTCCACTACGTCAGACTCACCACCAGTGAGTGAAAATGAGGACGAGCACGTAGGACGGCCTTATGTAAACAGATCACCTGAATGATTGACAATTAGGAGGACCACTTATTTAGATGATCCACCCAGAAAAAGAACATCCTCCACTATACCTTTAACATATGATGACTTACAGTTTGTTTAACTTTTAAATCCGTCGTTCATGTTTTTCTTTCCTATCACAACAGAAGCTAAATTTATTTGTGACATAGTTACAGGTATTTTGAAGAGCTATATTAGGGTTTAGGTATGTCTCTTTGAAAGCAACAACATACAAGGCAGAACATTGAACGACTGAGTGTTCCTCCTGTAATGGTGACGTGCAGGAATGTCTTACCCAGATAACCAAGGCAGCGATGGTCACCGCCAGGCTGTAGGTGCAAAGAAGTGCAACAACCAGGATCCAGATCCATATGGGTCTCTGTGGTGTTCGTGGCTCTGAGTCGTCTTTCTTACATGTTCCTGTTTTGTTTGCACATCCTTGTCCTGAGGAAAGCACATGTTAAAGATATTATTTTTAGTTATTCCTGTTTGCACATGAAATATCGAGATGGGTTTCACTTTAAATTTTTGATATATTTACCTTCTTCAAGGACCACGACTGATTTACCTTCACTGGTCACGAAAGGAGGAGGGTAAGACTTCTCAACCTTGCATGTGTAGACTGCTTGCTCTATGTTACCTTCTAATTTAATGATGAAACCTGTAAATTTACCATGTTCTTTCTGTGGGGTGACACCGTGCTGCTTTATGGTTTGGTTTTTTTTGGAAGGCTCTGTGCATATTTTATAAATTTCTATCCGGTTTCTGTAAAGAGTGATAGTAATGTCTGTTGTGTTGTCCATGATGAGGTTTTCAGGCTTGATCTTAGGGCACGGCACATACAAAGAATTGGTCTTTTCTGCTGTTCTGCAGTGAATGTCCCATGGTTGCTCTGGAGATAAAACTGTGGAGGTGATTAAAAAGACAGTTTTTAGCATTTCTTGGATTAATACTTAAAAATGAAAAATCCCTTAAAGGGTATGTTTTGCAAGATGCAAGCTTTAACCATATCCAAAAGAGTTTTGCAAAGAAAAGTGCTCCAAACATTGATGTTTTCTTAAATCTGCCAGTGTATAAATCATACTTTCATTGGAACTTGACGCCCACAGTGGAATTTGCTTCATATCAGCCTCTTTAAGCACTTTTAGCTCTTTCAGAGATGGTGAAAATACAAGTTTTCAAGCGAATGGTACATGTGAGTCAGCCAGTGTGACATATAGAGTCTATTGATGTCAAACAGAACTATGTGCTGCTACACATCTGTTTATAGCTTTATTTTTTGCACAATTTGCTTCTAAATAGTTCTGCCTCATCAAGAGAAAGCATGCATAAAGAGATTACTCAAACTTTTAATACATTTTTGTATTTTCAACATACATACATTATAGAATTGCTGAACTAAAGTAGATAATTATTCCGTCCTTGCTGTAACCTTTGCCATAAGTGTTTTTGCTCCTATATTGTATTTTTTAACTTACCATCACATCTGTTGGGTGATGTGCAACAAAGTAGGATTATCAACAACCAGAAAACTCCCATCATAGCTCCGTCTTCTGCACAGATAGGGTGAACTTGCTTCCAGCAGACGGATAATCCCAAATCTCCTACAAACTCCAAACTCCTCTGATGAGCAGCATAAAGCCGTATGCTGCAGAGGAATCTGATCTGTCTCCCTGATGTAGTCAACCCTGCTTCCACGCACGTGTTCTTTTCATGTTAATACATCAGATCCACGCTTTATCCCCAGATGAACCTCACCCACAGAGCTACAGTAACTAAAGCTCACACTCTCTCTCTATCTCTCTCTTTTCAGAGAAAACATCCTGTGGCAGAAAACGCCTCCTCTTTCAAAGTTTCCGTTGTCTCCCAGAGTTTGTAACCTGCTTTTGCTTACAGTTTGTTAGCAAGAATTCAATTCTGTGTGTACATATGGCAGATATAAAAGATGCATGGTGAGCACACAATTACAACAGGTAATGAACGACACATCAGATGTCCTCTATGCAACTTTCATGAAATAGTATATTTGCTTTAGGTTGAACCCATAAAGTTGCTTTTCTCTGATTATTTCACAGCTAACATTAAATTAATATAAGTTATAAACAAATATGGCAAGAATTTTAACATAAAATCAAAGAGATATCCTTGTTATATCCAATAAAATCGCTTAACATTCATAACATTTATCAGTGGTGGAAAACTAGCATTTTTGATGTAAAGTTAACATATGTAATGTCTAATTAATATTAGAATTCTAACATTTTTTTAATGCCCAGTTAACATTTATTAGAATTTGGATAACATTGTAATAAATGTTAATTTATACTCAACATGAACTGAAATAATATATTTGCTTGAGGTTGAACCAATAAAATTGTTTTTCTCTGATTATTTCACAGCTAACATTTAATTAATATGAGTTATTAATGAATATGGCAAGAATTTTAGCATTAAATTAAAGAGCGAAAAGCTTTTGTGTGGAACCTTCATGACGCAACACCATTTTGGCTGTTTAAAACAGACATATGACAGAATCCTGAGGCTGTAAGGCGTTAAAAAACATTGAACGTCACTTCCTTTTGTAGTTATACAAAATTCCATTGTGATGAAATATACTGAATCTTTTATACTGCAGGGAATTTTAGGTTTCTCAGCAGAGAGTAATATAAATATTTAGAACTAAAGGCAAGCCATGTTTATTATATAAATCATTTCGGTGGCAAGACAATTTAAATAACTGAACATGAGAAAAAGAAAAGTAAATTGCAGTATCTAAGAGGCAACACATATAATTGAATAAAATAAATAATACACATTTAAATAAAATGTATTCAGACAATTCTAAACATTGAGAAAAAACCCCAAAACAAACTCACACTATATAAATGTTTGAAAAGGTATTAGGCTGAAGCGTAAGCTTATTTCGCCCATCCCTCAAAACATCATAAATTCAATCAAATCAAAGAGCTGAGTTACTTTAAATCACATTCCAATCACATTTTTACTTTAGAAGTTATTGCCATTATATTAGGGACAAATGGGTGAGGGAACTACAGGAAGACATAAGTGATGACATGTGGTACAAAGATAAAAAAGTAATTAAAAAAAAGTTAAAAAGCAATGTTAAGGCTTTTGTTTGTGCCACTCTATAAGCCTGGAACTGAAACCCTACCCCAGACATTTTGAACTTCGAAAGCTTCCTGGATGGGAAGCAAAATGTCTTCAAATGGGGAAAACAAAGTCTAGTGGGTTTTTAACTAACTATAACTATGACCTGGATGACTTAGAATCTTCACCAACATGTGGTACACTATCTGTAAATCGCAGGTTACCTCTACTAGATCTAGTGTGGGAGTGGCGGCCTCGTGGTTAGGGCATAGGACTCCTGAGGTTGCGAGTTCGAAACCCACTCCCACAGACTGCCACTCTGGCCACTCTGGCAGCCCACTGCTCCCCAAAAGGGGTTTGGTTAAATGCAGAGAGTTTCTCTATTGTGAGATCAATAAAGTTCAATATATTTTATTTTACTAGTTCTAGGAATTAGAAAATAGTAGTCTGGTTTTTATTACTTCAAAAATAAAAAATAAAAAAGCATTGTTGTCCTTAAAGCAACCCTGCTGGAGACTGTGGAGAAAAGAATGTGGGTCATGCATGTATCTTCTGGCAGTGCTGCAATTTGTCCCAATTTTGGGAAGATGTTGCCAAAGAAATTAATAAGATACTGGTGTACAGCACCCCAAGAACAATACTGTAATTATATTTAAGTTATGTAAAGGGAGCAGAGATTCAGATCGATCTTTAATTAAAATACACTTGGGAACAGCAACAATGGTTCAAACAAGAACCCCCAACAGTCAACAATTAGATGGACATTGTAGAGGAAATTCACAGCTTTTAAGGACTCACTTTTAAAATAAGGTTGCAACAAGCAAAATATGACCATCTTTGGAAATAAATGTACAATTTATATTAATGATTACTGACCACCTGTCATTTGTAAATTGTTCTGTTTCATATTATTTTTTCTTTTAAAAATATTGAAATACTAGTGAAAAAAGAAATGATTTCCATTGATTCACATCTCTTTGCTTTATTTCATAGTTTGTATGAGGATTTCAACTAAGTTTGTTTTGTATAATTACTCAAATAACTTTTATATAATTCACCTTTTATTGTCAAGCTCCTGCCCATAAAAGGATTATAGATATAGATATAGATATATATATCTATATCTATATATATAATATATATATACACAGACAGACAGTCTTTGTGCGTGTGTGTGTTTTCATAGTCTGACTGTCTGTTCAGGCTCTTGCCCACTCAGATTCACAGAAAATTTCATCCACCAAGCTGTCAGGAAGCTAAACTCTCTCCCCACAGCCACATCCTCCAGGCTGTCAGGAAGCTGACCCCCCCTCAAAAAAAAATCACCGCGGACAAACTTTCTCTTGCACTACTATTATTACTATATTTATGTACTGTTCTTTTGCACTGTTACTGTTACAAATATATTTTACATAATTGGTAAAAAATAATATTAATGATATTTTTTATGCTGCCATTACCATCTGCCTTTTTGCACTAGCAGAAGTATTGTATATTTTATATTATTGTACATTTTATATTTTATTGTGAAATTGAATGTTTAAATTTTAGTATTAGGAAATGATCTTATCTGTTGTGCCTGTGCACTTTATCTGTTTTACTGTTGGTGAATGAGAAACGGACGTCCTCTCGAGTCCTTGTATGTCTGCTGAATGTGAAGAATTGACCTTAAAGCTGACTATGACTTTGCAATGTTATAGACCTACTGCATATTGAGAAAATTTAGATCTTAACAATTGGGAGACGGAGACGCCCCAAATATTGACAGGTATTTCGCACACTGCCAACAAGCATCATCTTCTTGAAGCATTTGAACTAAACGCTGCTTCTCATGTTTTGTTCTGATTCTGGAAATGCAATGTTGATTAGAGCCTGAATAACAGACTCAGATTGAATTAAATATGTAACTGAGTATGGTGGCTTTGAAAATATTCAAAATGTAAGTTTAAAAAAAAAAAAAAAAAAGCAGAAATATTTTAGGGGCGTAGTGAGGATTATAGGGTATAAACACCTGCCAGGAGGAAGGGAAACTGCACATGATTAGAAAAACCTGACTCTTCTTCCTCTTGCTGGTCAACAGCTTGGTCATACACAGCTGTGGAATGAAACAGCAAATTTATATATATATATATATATATATATATATATATATATAT